ATTCACATATATTCACAGGTGTGTCACACATTTTGACAATGGCCCTTAACAGTCATAATGAAGGCACTGATCCTACCTAACATAATCCAGTAAATATGAGGTATATGTTTTAATAGAACAGTAATTTAGAATGCTATTTAGTTCTTCCCTAATTCGATGGCAAATTGTTCCCTTGACAGACTCATCCATTCATTGAGCACTATCCCAGATGATAGAAGTATAAAAATAAATAAGACACTGCTACTCTCAGATAGCCAGCAGTCTTCGGGAGAAAAGAAAATTTGTTAACCAAACACATGCAACAGTGTAAGCCATGCTTTTAATATGGTTTAGGTACTGTCAGCAGAGGTGAAAGGAGTGGCAAATTGGTTGGCCAGAGAAGGCTTCCTTCTCTGGAAACTTTCCTTCTTTTATGGGGAAGAGGAGCTTGCTTATTGAGTCAAAGAGGTATGTAGGCCAGGCTCAGTGGCTTCCATCTGTAATCCTAGCACTTTGAGAGGCCGAGGCAGGCATCACTTGAGCTCAGGAGTTCGAGACCAGCCTGGGCAAATAGTGAAATTCCTTCCCTACAAAAAATCCAAAAATTAGCTGGGTATGGTGGCATGTGCCTGTAATCCCAGCTACTTAGGAGGCTGAGGCAGGAGAATTGCTGAACCTAGGAGGTAGAGGTTGCAGTGAGCCAAGATCGTGTGACTGCACTACAGCCTGGACAAAAGAGCCAGATCCTGTTTAAAACTATGTAGATCCTCTGGTGGGTAAGACAGGAAAGATTGTGTACAAAGGCAAAGGGTAAAACACAGGCCTCTTGGAGCAGCTCAAACGTGGCTAAGGAATGGAAAAGATGGTCCAGGAATGAGAGGTGAGGTATCTGTCCCAGAGAGACAAGGAGAATTCAGATCATGAAGGGCCTGGTATGAGAAGCAAAAATACTTGGACCTCATCTGTAGGCAGTGGGAAGACCCAAGAAGAATCTCAGCAATGTGGTATTTCAAAAGAAACAATTTCTGTGGCAATATGAAAAATGGCATCAAAGAAGATCTATCCTTACAGTGAGAAAAGACGGAGGGAGGGAGGCGGATCACTTGAGTCCAGGAGTTTGAGCACATCTTGGGCAATATGGTAAGACCCTATCTCAAAATATAAGAAAAACATTGAGAAGGTTTGGGCAGTTGTTGAAGAAACAAAAGACCCAGATGGACTGAAGAGAGAATTAAGAGGTAATGTTGACTGTGTGGAGGAGAAAAAGGGAGGATGATGACTCAGATTCATGCCTTGACTTACTAAGGGGGTGGGAATACAGGAAAAGACTAGGTTTTGAAGAGGGATTTGATACATTTGGCTAAGGACCTGGTGAATTTTAAGTTTCTATGAACAAACAGGTTGGGATGACCAATAAATCGATAATGGGTCAGATGCTAATAAAAATTCCAAGCTGGAGATAAAGGCTTGGGAACGTCCTGTATATGCCCAGTGGGTCCATGGAGTTAAAGCTTTAGAAGTACAAGAGATTGCCTGCTGCATTTGGCTATTTGATTAAAATTTAACAATATCAAAAATCAAGTTTCTTAACCTTACTACTGACTTCTTAAGTGCTTGAGAGCCACATGTAGCTAGTGACTACTATATCGGACAGCATGGACATTGAACATCTTCATCATCACAAAACATTCTAGTGGACACTATTAAAAGTGAGTATTGTTCCAAAGAGGGAGAGAATGGAAGGCAGAGGAAGGACCTTCCAATGAAACTGCAGATATGTGTGAAAAGCCAAGCCCAAAAGCCAAGGTCGGAGAGAGGGAGAGCGGGGACTCAGGCACATTGGGGATATTTGACTTCCTCTGGTATGGTACTGAGAGAAGCTCTGAGTTACTGAATGCCTTCCATGAACTATATGTTGTAATGTGTGCTTTCCATATCATCTATCTAAAATCACACAACCCTGTGAGGAAAGGGACCCTGATTCCTATTTGCTACATTTCTTATGACTATTAGACAAATTTCAATTGTACACTTTTGCCAGTTTTACTAATTGTTCACATACACCATCACATATAGGGTAATCACTGACTTCATTTTCTAGTTCAATTAAAGAACGCAGTATCATTCTTTAAATATATGCCAAGAACATGCATGAAAGAAAAGCTTGTTAATCTAAAGCCAAAAAACTGACAATATGAGCCAAGTTTTTGTTCACTGTGTCAGGCACTGTGCTAAATGCTCTACTAGGGTTAGCTTATTTTTAATCATTTCAATTTTCCTCAGATAGAACGTCATCCTCAATTGAGAGAACAGGAAACTGAGGACAAGAGATTTGAAAATTTGTTACTGTTTCACAGATAATGGCAGAGGAGCCCCGAATTCAAACTCAGATCAGTCTAAGTTACAAGTAAATATTCCAGGTATTTGCTTATAATCCTCACCTTCCACAGAGCCCACCTTATGCAAAATCCTTAAGCAAATTTTTAAGATCTATTGCAGAAGAACAATTATTTCGGCACACTCCTGAAGTATACGTTTACAGCTGAGAAATATGTACAGAGAAAACCTGCTCCTACAAAGATGCTCAATTAGTGAAACAGACAACCAACGTTTGCAAAGGACAGAAATGAGCCCCTCATTTGGTGGCATGTGGTTCTTCACGTGTTTCTGCTACATCAGTTTTACACACAGAAGATGTAAACACCTTGAGGGTAGGTAATGTCTGATACCTCTCAAGATCCTCCAGAGCACACACTTAAGATTATATTAGCAAGGGCATGCAACCAAAAGCTGTCATGGGAATGTGTTGAGAAAGATGCAAGTTCTATTTTTCACACCGTATTTTGTTTCTTTTCATTGTATAGTTGAGTGGTAAATCACTTTTCTGAAGTCACTTAAATCAAGAGCTATACAGTACATGCTCCTTAAGAACAGCCTTCTCTAAATAAAATTTTGGTCCAGAATATACCCACATCCTTAAATCCTTGTCTAAAGATAGCACAAAAAGTGTGTATGTGTTTATGTGGTGTGTGTGTGTGTATATATATATATGATATATATCAAGGAGATATATAAGATCAAATATACAAATATATAATGATCATATAAAACACACACATATATATATGATCATTAAATGGAGTTATGTTTTTACCAGAGGACACATTAGTACCACAGTGGGGCAGACTAAGTTGACTAAATTTCATGGCTTTAAATGATTATGATTTAATGACTGGTTTTAGTTATGACATGCAGTAACAATATCCCTATAGATCTTATTATACATAAAGTAATTACAATTCATTTCACAAATAATAAGTTGATAAAACTCATGATCTCACAATCTATATATTTAACATAACGGATATAAAGATCTT